GGGTGGGGGCTTGGGGGGGGCCTTGGAGTTTCGGGGAGCTTTATCCGTTCAGGGCCTGGGAATTGGCCGTTTGGGGCACGGCCGGAAAGAAGGTGATCGTTTGGAAGCCTACAATGTTACAACCTCGGCCTAGAAATAGAAACCCTCAACCCTAAACCCTAAAACCCTAAACCCTAACCCTAAAACCCTAAACCCTAAACCCTAAACACCCTAAACCCTAAACCCTAAAAACCCTAAACCCTAGAGTGCGAGGGAATTCCCCTCGAGACGCCTTCTCCCGCGGCTCTGCGTCTGGCGCTGCCTTGGCATCCTCGAGGTGCCGCCGCTCGGGAGCTGTGGCTGTAGGTGTATTTATAGGGCTTGGGGTTTAGGGTTATTTAGGGCTTAGGGTTTAGGGTTTAGGGGGGTTGAGGTAGGATTTTTTTGGGGGGCTGAGACTTGTTGGCTGGTAGAAGACTCTGGAGATGAAGTTTCTGGGTTTTAGAAGTTTAGGAGTTAGGGTCTTGGGAACCAGAGTTGAGATGCAAGGGGCCTTGCCCTGCAGCTTCGAACACTCCTGATACGATAAACCTCCTTCTAATAAGCCTACTTACGTTCTACTTACTAATGCCCCCTATAAAACCTAAACCCTAAACCTCTATGTAAGCCGTCGGTTTAGAGGACCGCTGGTTGAACATGCATTTTCTCAGTGCAAGTAAGTAGGGCTAAACGTACCTGAAACAGATGGGGACCCAAAGTAACTGCCAACTCTATCCTCAGGGTTCCTAAATCTGGGTTCTTGTAGGGGATTTTATTTAAGTTACAATAATGACGAAACCATATTGTTTACCATCGATCCCATTATGGTAACTTGAAGAACCCAGTTAATAAGTACATAATTTATGGGATCTTGCAGAGCCCTCAAAAACTTGATTAGGGCATTGGGGTATAGTAAAACAATATGACTATACCAGTGACTCTAAGGAATACTGTTGCTACTGATTGTTGCGACCCCCGCAGTGAAACAATATGCCCGGCACTCAACCCTCATCACTATGCCGAGTTTACGTTTTGGAGTTTCAGGTTCACAAAACCCAAGCACGTGTCGTCCTCAGTTGACGCATTCGGCTCCGCATCCTCATCAGAATCCTTGCTAGGGCCGCTAGGGTTTAGGGTTGAGGGCTTTCGGGAAGGAAAGCATGCAACAAAAACATTCCCCATGATCACGAACCAAGTAAGACCCAGCCCAGGACGTGAGTAGTCAGGAAGACCAATGTACTTCAGCCCTCATTTTAATGGAAGGCCTGAGCCCCAAACGTCAACCTAATCTAGCTGCGCTGTTTGAAGTTCAGGTCAGGATGACATCACTGTAGGTTTACCAGCTTCTGCGCCACCGGCTCAGGCCGTAAACAAGCTGCGGATGAAGAGCTGGTCCAGATCTTCAGATTTGGGACTTTCCGGAAATTAGGGTACCTTATTTTGGTGACCTTATAATCGGGATCCTACTATTTAGGGTACTATATTTGGTCCCCTATTTTCGGAATCCCCCCATTTATGACAGCTGTGAAGGCTTGCACAACCTGAACCACACATGCCAAACCTCGGCTATAGGTCCTGGTCTGCGGTACGAGCACTGTTTGTTCCTTTGGGGGGGGGTCGGGGCGCTTCTTCCTTGCGGGCCTCGTAATCGACGAGGCCCTGCATGGCGGCTGAGTGACGGATGAACCTATTGTGGGGGCGGGGTGATCTTAAATGATTAGAAAGGCTTTCGGGGCATGCCATGATATTGAGTAGGAACTATGAGGAGCACTGTCCGTAATATTTCCGATATTTCCGAGCTCTATATGACCTAGTCCTCTCGAACGACAGAGTTACTTGAGCAAGGCTGTCAAGCTCCCGACTGGGCTGCAATGGAAGGTCTGTCACAGCCTGTCTCAGCTCAACCAAACGGAATGGAAGGCCTTGCGGTCTGAACCTAAGCCGTGAGAACCCCAAGTCGATGTGTCGAATCATCCCAAAGCCCCGTATTTCTGCCGGGCCACTGCCTTTTTCCTAAATCTTTAATGGCACCCCATGCTAAAATCACGTGGCTCATGGATTCAGCAATTGAGCCATCAGGGATGCAAAGCTGCTCCAAGCCATGAGCAAGAAAACCTGATCAGAGCATGTCCCTAAAACGGTTTAGGGTTTAGGGTTTAGACCCTAGACCCTACACTCTAAACCGTGATCCCTAGGATTCGGTTCGTGTCTCCTAGGCCTGCTTGATGCGCGACACTCTCTGGCCCTCGTTACATCGGGGACTCCTAAAGTTCAGGGTTCTGTAATGCTAAACCGAAGCAGTGCCAATAGTGATGGCTTGGGGTTGAAGAGCAGACTAGAAGCAAGCAACAACGAAGGATGCCGGAGTCCTACCGGTTTCAGCAGCAGAGAAGACGCCCGGTTGCATGATATTGGGGGCTTCGGCTTAATGACCAGACTAGGCCCAGGCTTTTGTGGGGCTTTCGTGCTGCGAGTCTGTTCCGGAACCTTGAGGAACACCACAGCTGGCTCTTCAGGGCGTTTTGCTGGACCTTTCTCTCCGCGAGAACAGAGGCGGTCTGGTGAAACAAGCCGACTGCCTTTTTTGGGGTGTAGGGGTGTGGAGTTTATATAAGATAAGGTTCACGGTTTGTGACACTTTAAGGCGAGACTTTGGAGCACAGGCTGGAGACGTTGGGACTGCACCTGCTGTCAGCGGCTTGCGTTACGATGTCTCACCCTTACGACATATTACGACTGACGTTTAAGTTTTAAGGCTACGCTGGGCTTGCGACATTTGCCTTCATGACATGCTGAGCACAAGCTACTCCTTATATCGCCAGCTGAAGAGCTCAGCAGCAATCTATAGCCTGAAGACCATGGCTGAAACTGTAGGCCCAATGCTCAGAGTCCAAGTACTTTGCAAATGAGCAGGCTGCCGGATTTCAAATCGATCCAGTCGATGCTAAACTGATCTTCATGGGCCGTCATCTCATCTCACCTGGCAGCGGCCGTCAAGAGCCTTCTACCATTTCCCCGAGGGTCCAAAGTATCTGATAACTAGGCTTTGCAAAGGGTAAAGGTATTTAGGCAGTTCACTTTTGCGGGGTCGCAGACACATGGAAGGCTTGTTGGCCGAAGTCTGTTCACGCCATGTCGGGCACGAAAGAGAATTTGAACCAACGCCACAAAGGAGCGGACGAAGTTCGTTGTCAGTCACGGAGGGCTGGACCGTACGATGTGAAGAACACCTTTTTCTTGTTTTGATGTACGCTCTTCTCTGGTCTGGTTTCTTCTCGACTGTAGAAAACTTCAGCAACTTTGACTCGCGTCTTCTGAATTTACTCCTTCGCTAAGAGAGAATGTTATCTAGGAGCCTGCATCAAACGAATAGTAGACCCGTGCAGTGATCGGAAGGTTCGTAAACTTCCCTGGTGGTGCCAGGAAGGTGAGCTGTTGGGGCGCTCAGGGTTTGGTGCTTCTGAGGAGGGGTCTGGGCGCGACCCTAAACACCCTAAGCTCCAAGCCTCCAGACCCTAACGATGCACATGAAATCCAAAACCCTGAACCCTGAACCCTAACATCCTAAAGCCCTAAAGCCCTAAACCCTAAAGCTCGGAAAGCCCTAAGCCCATAGCACACCTAGGCCATCACGGTCGGGGACTGGCAGTCCGACGGACGATCTCGGGGGCTGAAGGGACTACTATGGCTTCGATTCGAGGGCTCAGGCTTTTACGGCATTAGTGTTTGGGGTTTGGGGTTTTTGTTTGGTTTAGTATGACGCTTTTTCAACTCCACGCAAGCATTGCGGTGATCTCTGCTGGTCTCTCATGGTGTCATGGACCCTTGATTCTTTGGCATTGTCTCAGCGCGCATGCCCTTGTTTGGGTTGTTTGATATGTCTGTTCGTTCGGCCTTCTTTCCTTGTAAGGAGCACGCGAGCTTAAGAATACCAAGGCATGCTATCACCGGGCAATCGGCAAAATGCGCAAAGGAATCAGCCTTCTAAGGCAAGGCCATTCTTCTCACGTGGCGCTGTTTCGGCGTCTTACCTGTTGGAGGTCAGAGGACTATAGAACGGCATGGTTGACTTGGGATCATTGACACATGTTCTGGAGAGGAGCCTTGCTGCTCTTCGGGGCTTTCTCCGTTGCTACTTCCTGTCGAGACACAAAGGTAGACCCCACGTCCTGCTGCAACTAACCCTAAAATCTCAGCTCCAAGCGCACGAACTCTCTCAGTCCTGCTTCAACCGCTTCTTCTTCATTTTCTGTTTCTTGGCTTTGTCGTCCTTCGGACTCAAGTCCTGGCAGGCGGAAGGAGGCTTCCTTGTCTGGAACTCTTTATAACGCCTGTAGCAGTCCAGTCCTCCTCGATCGTCGCTGGCCTGTGTGACCCAGGGGCACTCGTGGGGAAACCGGGCAGTTTCACATCAACCGCGTCATCTTCCTGGCACTTCGCCTGAGGGGGCTGGCACTTACACGCTTGCAGTACAGCAGAACCATTATATAAAGGCTTGATAAACACAGCATGGTGTTGGTCCTCCTTCTCCCCGCATTCCGGTTCTGACTCTGCGATCGCGTCCTGGCAAGGCTTTAGAAGGATGGTGAACGAAGACGGTGTCAGGCATCAGTCCTCGTTCTGCTCAGCTTCTGCCATGGGCATCACGTCCTGACAGCGCCCATGAGAAAAGACTGACTTATTATCAGCGCTCACTTGCGCCGGTCCGCCTTCGACCCGGAGGCGGCGCCCACCGTCGGCTTCTTGACCTTCTTGTTATTCTCCTGCACAGAAGGACCCACTATGAATCAAGTCGATGAAAAAACCCATAGGTGTTTACGCATGTCTGCTCTATAAGTCTATATGCGGTAAAGTAATGTCTCAAGCTGAGCATCGCTCGCTTGGAATAGTGCCTGGTACATAAACATTAGCCGATAAACAAAAAAGGCTAAGGTCGCTGTGAGTCATCACCAGAGACTACGCATGCATTGTTGGTTGAAGGTTCAGTGTGTTGCAGGGTCCTTCGCCAATGCAGTGTCTGCGGCCGCAACCTCTGCCACTTTCTCGGGCCCTGCAGCCTCTTGGGCCTGACTTGAGGGGCCTGGTGCCTTTGACTCCGGGATGACACAGAGCGATGTTTCATCCACTTCCAAGGCCAAGGTCGGATGTCCCACTACTTGCACCAGGTCATGCGCGACGTCTGCATGAGTACCCTCGAGCTGTGTTGGCAGTGCCATGTCGACTGACTGCACGACGTAGCCCGCAAACATGTACATGCTCAGGAAGGCGCTCAAGAACTGCAGCAACAGCTGACCTGCTGTTCGGACATTAAACCAAGCCGAGTAGGCCGTGACGCAACCGCAGAAGAAGGCTTCTGAGCGTTTTTCTTCCTTAGCTGTCAAGCATCTGTCACGAGAATCCACATCTACATCGTCCTACATCGCATGCCCGATTCAGGACTACATATCTGGACATGCACTTCATAGTGTGACTGGTGTGCCCTGTGCCCTATGATAAAGAGCTGGCCAGCTGCTTCAAGAAAGTCCAGGACATCTTGGCGCAAGATTCCACGGCGCACGCTGGCCTTCATCGCCTGCGATGTGATGGCAGGTTGATAGTGCCAATATTAACCTTGTTGGTATGGGCTTCAGCTGAAGGGAACCGCTTCGAAACAGCTTGTCCTGCCGCCGCCGCCGCCACCACCACCACCACCACCACCACCAGCACCACCGCTCGTGCAGCCAGCGATCGAACAATCCTACCTGCATTCCTTGCACTACAACTGCTTCAATGAACAACATGATCAGGAGGCTGGGGGTCTGTTAAATCTGCAGCGCGTTGGGGTGATTGATTTTGTAACAGCTTAAGGCTGCTACTGCTTATGCAATGGAGCCTCTCGGAGCCGCCATGGTGGGATGAGGCACATCTGTTTAAAGCAGCTGCGAGTCACCACGAAACTCATGACGAGTGCGAAGAAATAGTCCTGGGAGTAAAGGAAAATGCCTATGGTGTTTGCATCCAGGCCAACATCCAGCAGCATCAGGGCCACGCTCTGGTAAAGCCCCGGCGCTTGCCAGGGCCAGGCCAAGGCGGAAACTGGCTGGACTTTGATTCTCGGATGATCCAGATGCGCTGGGTTGAACTCTGCCTTGTCCTTCAGCAAGAGATTGTTGGACATCGTCAGTTGCTCGGACCTTGAAGGTCCAGTGCGCACAGGAAAACACTGTGCATACTGCGCGCAGCGGAAAAGTATCGCACCGAGCAGGCATAGCATGTACAGGCCCACACTGCCAATGGCGACATTTGGCAGCAGAGCCCAATTTTGTTCTACAGTGAGCTCAGGGCTCCACGGAAACCTAATGCGGTCCGACAGCAAGCTGTCTCTCAAATCAGGCCAATGGTATCTCTCCCAATCCGCGATCAGCGGGTTGGCGAGCACTGAAAATCCAGTCATCGTCCGTCCTCCGCCCCGCAACATGAACACAAATAATCCCATCAAAATGGCCGTGCGTGTGAAGGCAATCGCCTGGCTGGATAGATCGGTAGTGACCAGTGCACGCACCGGCACGCGGAAAATCTCCTTCGGTCCATGGAGGCATGCCGCAGGGAGGAAGTGGGCCAAAGTGACCAGTGGCACCCACCATTGTGGGTTCATCACGAGCAAAGCCCATCCGAAAAGAAAAACTGCGACCAAGGCCTCCATCCACCGCCATAGCTTTCGGAGCATCAGCCAGCTCCCACCACAAGCCCGTGCCACCAACATCGTTGCACCTTCCAAGAATTCCTCGCCATTCTCAGCCCGTTGCTCTCGTTGCCCCCACCTGAAAGATTGGAGTCGCTGCTCGAGAAGAACTTCAGCACCTGCAACTATACTAGCAATACTGGGGATGAGCCATGTCCTCCAGTCTTTCATGGTCAATGCGAGGACTTCAGCGCTCAGGAACCCCTTGAGAAAAGCTTGAGCATCTGGATCCTCCAGCATGTCCACCAGACGTTTACCTGAGGCGCTTCGCCAGCGAGCATCACCGCCGCATTGGAGCCAAAGCTCCAGCGACGGTTTCGACAGTTGGAATAGATCCCAACATTCCAAGTACACCGCAGCTTCCTGGAGACGATGGTCATGCATTGCGGAAGTGCCGTTACATCCTACATAGATCAGCGGGTTGCAGGGGGCGTCTTGGGCATCTTCCAGAATATTGAAGGGGCCGTCTGGCCAAGCTGCCCACAGCAGCTCTGCACTTCTCATATGGTTGAAGGCAACTGCCCGATGCAAGGGAGTCCAGCCCCCCTCGTCAACAGCCTGTGCACCGTCTGGCCAAGCTGCCAGCAGCAGCTCCACGATTTTCACCTGGTCGCTCGACGCTGCTTGGTGCAAGGGAGTCCAGCCCGAAATGTCCACGGCCTGCGTACCGTCTGGCCAAGCTGCCAACAGCAGCTCCGCTGTTTTCAATTTCGAACGGCCCCAAGTAGCTGCAGAATGCAAGGGTGTGTGGCCCCACTTGTCAACGGCCTGGACTCCATCGGGCCAAGCTGCCAGCAGCAGTTCCACAATTTTCGCATGGCCTTCGCTTGAAGCGTTGTGTAATAATGTCCTCTCATCCTCACCCCGAACGTTGCTCACATTCACACGTCCCGAGGCGATCAGCTCCTGGACTGTATCTTGGTCACCGTCAACCACTGCCTGCCGGAGCTCCTCATCGGTGGCTGCTGAGGCCAGGGCGGCGAAGGTGCACAGGAATAGCAGGGACGGCAGGACATGGTGGCTCGTGCTCAAAATCCTAACGCTGGGGCTCTGCTCGGCAGCAGACTGCGAGCGGCAGAAGCACTGTGTTAGAATAGCGGTCTCAGCAGTGCTTATATGTATTGCTCAAACACGTTCTATCTTCTCTAGATGTGACATGTATGATGTCGTATGATGCACCAACAACAGTTTAGATATACTAATACAATATGATTGCGTGAAGAGGCTGAGTTCTTCACCGAAAATGTCTTCGAGCCCCCTTTTCGTAAGAGCGACCCCACCTCACCACCTCGCTTGTGACCCAGCCTTTGCCCATATCTGGGAAATGCACTCATGCTAATTGCCTGGGATTTCAAAGGAATTTCATCACTTGGTGGGGGCAACGTCGAAGCCTGGGCCTCGGATTTCACGGGATTCTCACAGCTTGGCGCTGTGGCAGCGTGCGGCAAAGTCCCAACGAATTTTGGCACTGGTGGCAAAACCTTCTTGGTACAGTACTTGTATCTTGGCACAAGAGTTCGAGGAAACCTGGGTGTCACAATTATCCATCTCAGAACTTCCGATGCTGCAGTTGGTTCAGCACCAGACTCTCACCCCCCGACGACTGCTCATCAGCGTCTGATGAAGCATCGGAGGCACCGGCATCGGTTTCGTCCCCACTCTCCGCTGCCAACAACGTCAGAATGTCTTTCAGCAGCTGCCCCTCTCTGGACCTTATTATATCGGCACATGTACGTGCTAGCTGATCGTACATGTACATACTGCAGGGTACATCTACGCATGGAATCTACATAAATATATATATATATATGCTACCCCGCCCCCAAGAAGTACACCAATCCTCCTACGTGTAGCTTCTGGTGTATGACCCAGGTTTAACGTTAGGTCTTGAAGTTCCGAGGAGACAGCCTACGTATATCGGCAGAAGCCTTCATTCTCAATTC